ATTCGGTGTTGGATTCGTGGTAGGAGAGAGACTCCGTCGCCGAGTATTGGCGCTCACCGCGGTGGACGAACGTCTAGTCACAATCCGCATCAAAGCTAAATTCTTCAACATCTCGCTCATGCCCCGATGCAAGAGAAGGATGAGGCGTCCAAGGATCTCTCCTATGAGCGCTTGGAACGTACATATGAGCCCTGCGCCCGACACTATGTCAAAATCGTGCTTGGATATTTAATGCCAAGTTGGGCAAGGAAGGGATCTTTGGCGCCACTGTCGGAAANCATCTCGCTCATGCCCCGATGCAAGAGAAGGATGAGGCGTCCAAGGATCTCTCCTATGAGCGCTTGGAACGTACATATGAGCCCTGCGCCCGACACTATGTCAAAATCGTGCTTGGATATTTAATGCCAAGTTGGGCAAGGAAGGGATCTTTGGCGCCACTGTCGGAAAATTCAGCCTCCACGACGAAACTTCGGATAACGGACTGAGGCTGGTCGACTTCGCCGGTGCCCGAAACATGGTAATATGTAGTACTAGGTTCCAGCATAAGAACATCCACCAAGCTACATGGCTGTCTCCAGATCGAAAAACGAGAAACCAAATCGATCATGTTGTGATAGACGGAAGGCATGCTTCAAGCGTTTTGGACGTACGTACACTCCGAGGGCCAAACATCGACTCGGACCACTATCTTGTTGTAGCCAAGATACGCACCNACGGAAGGCATGCTTCAAGCGTTTTAGACGTACGTAAACTCCGAGGGCCAAACATCGACTCGCGAAGATACGCACCCGCCTCTGTGCAGCAAAAAAAGTGCGCCCAACAATGCAAGGAAAGCTTAACGTCGAAAAGCTGCAATCACAACAGACGGCCAATTTATTCGCCACTCGACTCACACACCTGCTCTCTGAGAGCACTCTTCAACATTCCGACATACGCGAGCAGTGGAACCACATTTCCCGATCATTAAGTACCGCAGCCGAAGAAGTAGCGGGATTTCAGCGAGCCCGAAAGAACAACAGGTACGATGAGGAATGTCAAGAAGCCGCAGAGAAAAAAGATG